GATATATCAAATATATGCAAAAACAAACAGAACTGCCAGACATATGCAAAATAAGCCTTTTCAAGAGTTAACTCAAAATTTACTTTTTTGAGATTTCATAATAAAATTAATAAGCTTGGTAAGGAGAATATATTCATGTGTCATGTGTTTTTTTATCTGCTATTTTGAATACCATCTTTATGTGTTGATCGAACTTTGATTGAGTTTTCCCACAAAATCAAAATTTTGAATTAATTATCTTCTATATATATAAAGCAATAGCCGTTTTCGTTGTTCGGAGTTAACTCAAAAACTACTGCATAGATTTCAGTCAAATTTTCAAATGTTATACCTTGCATATATAGTCCTATTACAGACTACCAGAAAACTCGGTAGGTGGCGCTGAAGTCGAGTTATTTATAAAAATCGTATTTACGAACCGATTTTTTTTTTAATTCAAAACGTAAGCTACCAGCATTATGACAAACACGTTTACCAAAAATAGACCCGCTAGGTAGCGCGGGAGTCGAGTTATTTATAAAAGTCGTATTTATGAACCGATTTCTTTCAAATTCAAAAAGTATAGTTTCAGCATAATGGAAAAAACGTTCACCAAAAACGGAGACGCTAGGTGGCGCGGGAGTCGAGTTATTTATAAAAGTCGTATTTATGAACCTATTTTGTTAATACACATTCGAAACGTTTATTACTTTCATGATGATTTTTTTTCATTCGAAACATATTCAGCCTTATCATGAGTTTCATCTTCCATGAACCGGTTCACTTTTCACTTTTGGTTTCCATGTATGTACTATGGGGGGAATCAAAATTTTCGCGTGATTTTTTTTTCGGGCGAAACGCATGATAAGGAAGATTACATACATAAAATGATTGCCATTTCCGTTTTCGGACTAAACTCAAAAACCACTCAATAGAGCCCAGTCAAAGCGTCGGAGGTCCTATTATAGGCTACTAGAAAATATGCTGGTGGCGTTGGAGTAGATTTACTTATAAAAGTCGTATTTATTAGAGATTTCGTTCAAATTCGCAGCGTGACTACCTGTATTATGTAAAATTCCTTTGCTAAAAATGGACCCGCTAGAGTTTAGGTATTTAGAAAATCCGTACTTTTTATATAATCTGATCGGAATTCAAAATTCGTATTCATTTTATGACAAGCAAAGGTTTTGCAGAAAAGGGACCCAATGGATTACGCTGCACCCGAAATATATAGAAACCCCCACGGGGTTTGTTTATCTTAGACGAATTTACTTTTCAGATGGCTAAATCAAGGATGCGTTTAGGTATGAATATAAAGACCGTAACACTGTGTAAGCGTAATCTTGCATCTACCTCCGATTGACGAAGTTGTTCGAGGCGGCCGTTATTACAGCAGTAAGACTCAAAGAAACCAATTCATAAATATTAACCCTTAAATGCCCAACGACGCCAAATCATCTTTAAAAATTTTATGTTATGTAAAATTGTGTGCTTAATAAGGTTTCTTCTTGGACTTGCCAAAAAAAAGGAGTTTTTTAGAAGTTATTTTCAAAAAAGTGGTTGTATCTTAGAAGATACACTGGGCATTCTCCGAAGTTTTTGCTTCACCTCCCAAAAATGTAAGATTTTAGCAAACATTTAAGAAAATAATTAAAAAGACATGGTATTCGGTTAAATATTATTTGATTTTATTCATAACTACAAAAATATACATAGTATGTATATTTTGGGTAAAGCATAGGAAATAAATTAATACATATTACAGAAAGTGACTTCATAAAAATAAATATCTCAAGAAAATTCATTTGATTTACATTTGTATTTATAAATATATAATACATATAAAAATAAACATAGAATAAAAGTATAATTACATATCTAGAAATGGTGATAATTATAAAAGCAATTTTTTTCTGAAGTGATACATAAATTTATTTTACATTTTGTACAAAACATTCTTGTTTGACCTGAGCAGTTTGGATACTTACATCTTTAGTTTCCATAGTAGTCCAGTGATCCGTCATGTCCAATCGAATATCCTTAGATGGAGCATTGGATGAATTAGGCTTTCTCCGTTTTTCCTCCAAAAGTGGTTCAAGACTTGGACGCCCACGCTTAGCTGGTTCAACAGACTTGAAATTAAATAAGGAATCAGCTAATTGTAACTTAAAATCAATTAGCCGTATATCTTTATATTCAGGCCGATCTTTATTGATTCTCTTATATAGGATCCAGGAGGTAGCACATGTTAAATCCAACAAGTGATAAAATATTCTATTCGTCCATTTGCGACTTTTCATCGCGATCTTGTGGCGACCCAAGCAGCTGTCAAGTAAATCTACGCCACCCAAATGACGATTGTAATCTTTTATTATTTGTGGACAGGAAATCATTTTTACAGTTTTATCTTTTTTATCGAATCGTTTTATAGATGATGATGACGCACTTTCGGTCTGACCACGCGTCAAAAGGGGCTTCATACCAACGTATGTTGATACAAGATTCACAACTTTGTTATCCTTCCACGACAAGGATGTCACGTCAACACCGGAAATTGATGTAACAAACTCACGGCTGGTACCACGCTCGTATTTTGACATTGTTTTTTTCATCGGGAAGTTTGCAGTTTTTTATACGATTGCGTCGAATAGTACCAATAGAAAGTATTCCTTGAGTTCGCAAATATACTTACAAAGGCAAGGTTGTGTAGTAGTTATCAAAATATACTATATGATTTTGATAACGAGGAACTTCGCGTAAAAGCCTAACAACTATGTTTGCAGATGGCTGCAGGTCTGGTTCTCCTTCAACTTGTACAGTTGGTGCACCAGAATAAATTTCAAATTTATAAGCAAATCCTGTTATGTCACACAAAACAAACAACTTTAGCCCCCATTTTTTAGGCTTGTTTGGTAAATACTGCTTCATATAATTTTTTATTTTTGTTTAACACATTTGTTCATCCACGCAAAGTCGGTCCAACTTCAGTATACTTCCAAAGCTCTTATTTAGGGTGTCTATAACTGGTCTGATAAGATAAAGCCTATCACGGTGTGGGTCTTCAAAAGGAGGAGCTTGGGTTTTGTCGTTAAAATGTAGATACTGCCGGATTTTTTCAAAACGGTTTCTGTTCATCATTTTTTGTACAACTGATACGGAACGATCGGCAATTCCCGACCAATAATCTCTGGTACTTGGGAGATTGAAGTAAGACATATAAAACAAAATACCAATAAATTTACGCAACTCATATATATCGAAGTGAAAGTTCTCATTCAACTGAGAATAAATTTTTGTTTGTTCTACTATTTGTAGCTCCAAAGATTCTGGGAATAAATATGACCAGATCTGAAACGGAGTTTCTAATCCTCTTAATAAATCAGGCATACTTTTATCCCCCCTAAACTGAAGATCTGTATCTGTAAACTGAAATAACTCTTTCAAATGCGGACGATTTGGGATCAATGGATACATTTTTAAATGCGGAAGGAAAATAATTTGAAGCAGTCCGTATATCTGTTGATACATGAGATTCCGCAAGTGTTGTAGCCTCTACTAAATCATCTTGAATATTGTAGTCATTGATCATATTCACAAAGGAATCGTGTAAACTGGCACTAAGATCGATTTGATCTGTACCGTTATCATCAATTACTTGTAAATTATAATCTGTAGGACCCTCCTTCGGGATCTGTATCCAATCTTCAAGATCGTCCTCAAAATCATCTGTGCTGTCATAACCAACCTCATTAGAGTCGCACAATAAAGCGCAAACTTCTTTATGAGACATCTTTACCCCATCAACTGTAATGTGATCACTCATAGTGTAGCCTCTTTTACTTGTAAGTACATACACAAAAAAATATCGTTATGGCTTAAAAATTGCAGTATGTTGCTCACGCGTTGAGTCTGTGTCTTCAAATGGCTCAACAAATCAAAATTAAACGACAAATTATCGCGCTTTTTACATAGCGCGCGTTAATTCCAAACTATGCTACAATGCCCAGTGTATCTTAAAAGATACAACCATTATATACCATCATGAACAGCGGGTGAGGACCAAAATCAGTTCACACCATTACATATCGGTAAAAAATATATTTTATAGGTGTAAAAAAAATTTCTGAGTCGAGAATTTTTACTACATATATTCCATTTCTATAAATTTTGCGAAAATACACTTTTTTGACTTTTCTATTAAAATTTGCGTTGGAAATGTAACTCTATTTAGAAATTTTGGCCTTTATATGATACGCTAGAGCTTTCTCTTTCCAGTTCTAAAATTTTTAGTAACTTTGGACAGATAATATTAAAATTAGCGCCCTTTTTTTGGTTGTATCTTTAAAGATACCGTGGGCATTTAAGGGTTAAGACGAATTGTAAAAGTGGCGAGTTGGCAAAGAAAGATTCGACCACATCTGTCGAAGAAGGAATACGATAGGTACATAAATGGCTTCATTTGAACGATATTCATGAGATCACACGACTCATTTAGCCAATATACGCGAAAACTTTTCACCCTGTGGGGCAGCGAGGATTCTTAACCTTCCTATAATTGAAAACGCTCATCTGTGCTCTTGAGTTTCCGTATGACTTTTATTGGCTTATATGGTACACCGGACCAATGCTGAAGTCGCAGGATCATAGAAGAATATTGCGCACGCTTGGCAAAGACCTCACAGGTGGAAATAAGACCATAGGTAAAACGCATTACATCGAAAGGGATTGGTATTCCATATGGAATCACATCGCTACTATTCCTCTGTTTTTCGTTTCCGTTTATCCGTTTTTTAGTCGTTTAAATTTATACTAAAAATGTTTACTTTACAGACTGCTTTTGCTTTTAAAC